TATATATATATATATATATATATATATATATATATATTGGAAGTTTGATTCCACCACTGAAGTAAGCATGTGAATTTGGCTTTTTGTTTTTAATGTTTGATAATCAAAGATGAATTCAATATCACCATTCCTTGTGTCAAAATTTGGGAATTCTGTGACTAATTATTTCATCATACTCTGTATGAATTCTGAAATATTAGTTGCTTGTCATATTACTTTTGGGTTGTCTCATTCTTTTGCCATTTTGTAGGAACAATATACCTTCAAATGCAAATACTGTTTTCTCCATTCTGTTGATACTTCCGGAAAAGTAAAAATTATGGCTATTTTAGACATTCATAGCATAGGGGATTTCAGAGGGAAAGTACATGCAGATTTCTTAGGATTATGATCTTTCATATGATGACCAACCTTGTTTCTTTTCTTTGCATTTCAAGCTGCTCAATAATTGTTCATTATTCTTAAATTCTTGTGCAGACCCCCTATCTCTTGTAAGGGATCATAGATCAAAGGAAGTTCTGACCGCTCAAGGAATAGTGGTCCGTTCATTTAATGCGGATTTGCTCTATGAACCATGGGAAATTCACGACCCAAATGGGCAACCCTTCACCACTTTTGCAGCATTTTGGGACAGATGCCTTAGCATGCCTTATGACCCATCTGCCCCTCTGCTCCCACCCAAAAGAATAGTCTCAGGTATTTAATTGTATATATTTACTTCGGAGCCACTTTGTTTGATGTTGATTATTCTGAAGTTATTTTGGGAAGTTGCCCACAAAAGAAAAGGAAAAATTGAGATCCAGTGTTGTGCTCCTAGGTATTGGCAATCAAGCCAACATCTCCCTAATTCCTACATTGCTTTTTTTTTATTGAACAAAATTGCCTTTCTTAAGGGCAATTAGTTGATGCAGAACAGAGTGACTGGCTGAATATTTTGAATTATGCTTATTTATCTGCTGGTAATTGTCATACAGCTTACTTAAGAGGAAATGAAGTCATTGAGTTTCTTCTCTCTGAAACTCAAAGCATCATAATGTCTATCTGATCCATGTTCAATTTGATTTTCTGCCTTGTCTTGTTCATGATAACATTAAGTATAATTTGGAGTCACTTGATCGTGGAAGAACTTGAGGAATCATAGCAATGTATAGGTATGATATGCTCAAAGTAATGCCTTGTTACTTATTGATTTTTTGGTATACTATTTGGTGGTGTCTTTACTTATGGAATGGCTTGCTAAAATTTTCTTGCTTCTCCATTTATATTGAAGCTTTTGTTTTCTAATGTTGCTTCTGCATAAGAAACAATTGAGCTATACCGTGAAATTGCAACTTTTCACTAGATTAAACTTTTTGATGCAACTGCTTGAAGATTGTGATAAATTTATGAGATTTTAATTACCGAAAAATGCAGGAGGATTTGAAATTCCAAATAAGGATAATGTTCGATGAAATTATGTAAAATTACTACAAGAAGTTGATTTGCATCACAAAGAATATATCAGGAGAATTAACTTTATGTGAGATTTTTCCTTTTGAGTCACTTGCATTCCATACCTTGAATCAGCTTTCTCCAAGTCAGATGCTGTCCACTAGCTTATTCAGCATTGATTCAGTCAACTTTTCAATCATTGTGTGTGGACCTCTGTTTCTAGTTTTCTAGGCTAAAGATCTATGATATTCTTATATGGGGAGACAATGGAAATCACAAGGGATTAGCTCACTCATTTTTAGCGTTAAATAGATTTTGTTAATATTATTTTTAACTTAAAAATAATAAAAATAAAAAAGGAAGAGAAAATAGTGAAACACATGTTGTGTCACTTATCTTGACATGGATGCTATATGGAAATAACTATGCACGTAGCATAAAAGCATTAGAATATGGTTATAAAAGCATTAGAATATGGTTAACATTATTGAGGAGCATGGCCTCATATGCTGTTATATGCCTCGTGAATGGAAAATTTTGTTGAAGCTCTTTGAATTTTTTTCTTGATAGTTGTTGAGGCTGTTAGAATTATGGGATTGGGTAGCTGAATATGAGAAAGGGTATCTTAGGAACTTGTTTACTTCTTTATTTGTTAGGGTCATAGAATACTTATGTTATTGTTGAGATGAAACAAAAGATCCAATATGATTCAGATACGTTTGACAGTTCTCAAGTCTTTAGTTGGCTTAAGAAAACTGTTATGGTTCAATGAATTAGGTAAAAGTGTTTAGAAGTAAGTTTTGAGTACCCTGAAATGCTAGTTGCATAGACGAGAGAACTTCCGTTTGTGGTTATTTGTGTTTTTTGAGAAACGTTGACTATTTTTCCTATTATGATCATCTATTACCTATTCATACGTTTTACTCAGTATTTTCAAATATTGTTGGCTCATCCAAATCTTGTTTCTATAGTCACTGGGCTTTAGAAATCCACAAATTGCAGCTGTAGTAGCAATGCATTTATTGGACATGTCCTACTATGAGTCATAAATCTTTGCTTGGTGCTAATGGAAGTTCGCTGCTAAATTTTTATCTCATTATATTATGTTCATGTGAACTCATGCTTGTAGAATTCAATCAAATTATTAGACATAGTTTAGTTTCTCTATTATTCTATTTGATTACACTGCTGTTTTTGTTTTTGTTAAAAAGAATAATGTGTGTGCATGCATATAT